TCAAGCTATCTTGGTAACATACTTAAATGCCATTTGCTGGTGCCTGGTATTTTATCTGAGCAATATCTCTTGTTTTGGCGTCTGTTACTACACTAAGTGACACCAATTACCAGAAAACATCGTAGTTTGCTGAAAAAATACTTGAAATGACCAGCTAATGAGGACGTTAAGTTTATTTTCTCGTTCGTAATTATGCAGGCTCTGAAGCCAAGCCCAGTATCTATATATACTTGTATTGCTAAATTAAAAGCAACTGTGGGGTAGAGAATAGCAACATTTCAAGAAGAAACAAATCAAATGTGACATGTTTTGACTGCACTGATATACAATGATCTGAGCTCGGTTTTAAAGGAGAGAAGTTTGGCCCAAAGGAAATGAGGAGGTCCCAGAGCCAGGAACGCTTCGCAAAGCGAGGCGCTCGCTTTCTGGCCTCTGAAACATTAGTTCCCTCTGTGACTTGGAACACAACTCCTCCACCTCCTTTTCCCACAAATGAGGAAAATCACTCACTTACAACCTTAAGGGCGCGAATGGTGGTACAAGAAGATTAGAACACACCTGTCTGGCAAATATCTCCTCGTTTCTCTATTAGCCTGATTCACTGCGCGGAGCTGGTCCCTTTTATAAATTGTTTACATCAAATCAACTGTCTCTGACTCAAACCTGACAGGGCACATTCTTATTAAAAATGTAATAAATTATGAATACACACTACTGCTGTTATCGGCTACTGCTGAAGAGTGAAATTAGGCAGAAACAAATAAAGGCACTCTCATTTTTCACTTCTAAATGGTTTGCTTTTTAAAAAATGAATGGGTATATATTACTATTATTGTAATTTAAAAAAAATTAAATAAAGCTTCTTTAAAAACAAAACAAAACACACACTTAGTTAAATTGCCACTGAGTAGAAGTGGCAGTATGGTGAAATAGAAACATGTATTCAGATACCTTGAATGATGAGATTTGGATCTAGGCCACGCTCTTCCACTGACCTTAGATGAGTCACTTAACCCCCTGGAAGCCTGTATTTACTCCTCTGAAAATATGGGGGTTGGATTAGATGATCTGATCTCAAGGTCACCTCCAGTTATATAAACTTATAAATATAAAACTTTAAGGAGAAGGTATTATGAAAATTGAGTTTCAGTTGATGACATTCTTTTTTTTAATCCTCACCCGAGGTTATGTTTTAGAGAGAGGAAGGGAGAGACAGAGAGAGAAACATCGATCAGTTGCCTCCCATACATATCCGACCGGGTATTGAAACCACAACCTAGGTATGTGCCCTGCCTGGAACTAGAACCCGCAACCTTTTGGTGTATGGGACAATGCTCCTACCAACCAGGGCTGAGTGATATTCTTAAGAAAATCACCCAAACCATAAATTATATCACAGGAAGCTGGGACTTAAGTAGTAGGCACTCAATAAATTAATTTTGCTTCATTCATTTTAGGTTAATTATTTTTAGAACAAAGCACGTTCAATCTTGTTAAGTAACAAGTTATTTAACAACACATATGGAACAAAGCACGTTCAATCTTGTTAAGTAACAAGTTACTTAACAACACATATGTTTATATGTATATGTATATATAATCACTTGCATTTGGGGACAATAAGGTAAACCCCCAGAATCATAAAATCTTAGAAGTGGAGGAACTTAATAAAATCCAAAATGTATATGTATATGTATATGTATATGTATGTGTATATGTACATATAATCACTTGCATTTAGGGACAATAAGTAAACCCCAAGAATCATAAAATCTTAGAATTGGAGGAACTTAATAAAATCCAAAATAAACTCTCTGCTAGTGAGAAATCCTGTTACGTGTTCCCCTTAGTTACTTGTGTGATGATCACACGCCCTTGTCTTCAGAGTGAGCTGAAAGGGGCCCCTTTCTTCCCCCTCTAGATCTGTCCTTGGGAGCAACAGTCCTCTTTGCCACAGAGCAAAAGAGTGACCTAATCCTGCCAAACCTTCTCCCTTCCTACCTATTGCACATGTACTGTCATTTCATCCAATCATCCCTTACAAGTTTCCAGAAACAGTATGTCCACATCTCTCTCAAACTCCAGCTTGGAATTAGCCTCAACCCTGAAGTGTGGTCTGACAGGACAGAGCCCATGTACCACCCCCAACTTGGTCCTGGTACCATACTGCTGCAGCCTAAGGTGATTTAGCATCTCTCTCTTCTACTACATGTCCTCTGTTGGTTCCTAATAAGTGTATACACTCCCAAGATCTTCTTCACATGAACTACTGATGGGCCAAGGCCCTCCCATGTTTTAAAATTCTAAATGCTTAGCTTCACATTTATTTTTGTTAACTTTCTTCGTGATGGTTTCAGCCCATCTTGTTCCAACCTGTCGAAATCACTCTGAATGTTGATACTGACATCCATCATATTAGCGATCCCTCCCAGCTTTCTGTCATCTGCAAATGTGATCAGCATGCCTTCTCTGTCTTCATCCAAGTTTTTGATGAAAATTCACTGTATTTTTTAAAAAGTCTTTTAATTTATTGATTTGGGTCCAATTTTTGATAATTTTGTAAAGCTATCTAAAAGCAGAAGAATCCAAGCTATGAGGCTCAACCTGATTCCAAAACAATGCAATTAAAATAAATATGCTTTACAAAATTGAGCCAGGCCCCAAAGGTAGTATCAGTATAACCTAGACTCTGGCATGGTCAATCTGCTATTTTGGACAAAACTAACAATTAAATTGGATAAATGTTTGTTGATGAAGATGATGACTCTAGTCTAACACACTGAATGGTGCAGAGGCAAGCAAACAAGCTGGATTGATTTTTCCGTGTGGAGACAGTTCCCAGCTGGGACAACTCAAAGAGCTGGGGAGGGTTTGCCACTGAATAACTGAATAGTCCACAAAGACCAATAATTGGATAATTTGGGGCCAAAAAAAATCACTTGTGGAGCCTAAATTCTCTGGATTGACCACCAAAAGTGATTTCAAATATCCTGGAATAATGACAGACTGTGTTATGTAGCCTCAGTGTGGGTAGTATGAAATAGCTTCATAGATCCAGAAAAATTGCATGAGAGGAGAGCAAAGTTTCTCTAGGGAGGAGGTCTTTATTCCAGAATGCTGTTCCAGCACCCTCTCTCACTGAAACCAGAGGTGCAGTAACGCTTGGTATTAGGAGCACAGACTTTGGGGTCCAATACACTTGGCTTCTAATTCTATTTCTGATGCACATTAGCTTTGTGACCTTGGGCAAATCGGTCCTTTAGCCTTTCTCAGTTTTAATCTCATCTGTGAAATAGAGATCATAACACTTACCTTCCTGGTCTTGCTACATGGCACCTGACACGTGAAGTGTTCACACTCAGAACATTCAACAAATGGTAGGGAGGGCACTGTGCTAAAGCTTTGACAAGTATCATCTTATTTAATCTTCACAAATCCCAGGAAGTAGATATTATAATTATTATTCCATAACACCAATGAGGAAGCGGAGTCATTAAAAGGTTTAAGCAGTTGCTTAAGGCCATCCAGCTACTAAACGATGGTGTTGGGATTTTAATCTAGGGACCTGCATGGGTCCAAAGCCTGAGCCCTTAACCACTGCATTATTATGCTAGACTATTTTTTGAGACTTGACTTCAAGAGATGCTACTTGTAATCAGAATAAGAGTCCTCACGCTTTGGTGCTAACGATCTGCCATGCTCCTCCTCTGAAGTCTTGTGATCAGGGGCAGAGAGGAGGCTTCCCAGCCCATAGTGAGGGTAGGGATGAGGGAAGAAGGATCAAAGTGGGTGTACCAATCATAGCACTGCAACCTAATGGGCACACTCACACACTCTTTCCCAGCTGTTCAACCAGAAGTTTGAAATACTGATTAGACCTGGGCAGGGAAATCTGGTAGGAGCTGCCAAGCCAGACCAACCAATTGGGGATCCCTGGACTGGTCTCTCTTTGATTTGTATGCAAACTGTGTTTCTCAGTTTTCTTGTCTTAGAGTGTGGGTAACTATCCCTACAGTTCATGATTCTTTAAGTGGTTAAATGAGACAGTGAACCACAATGTCTAACATGCAGAAATTGCCCAATAATTGTGATCTTTTTTTCTTCCTTCCCATCTTTGGTGAGACTCAGTCTTACTAGAAGTTTGCTTTTCCAAGTCTTTTAAAAAGCCGCCTTAGAGTCATATTTATACATTTGCTTTGAAAATCCTTTCTTGTGGTGGTTCTCTTTGTTATCCAAATTTATGGCAATTTTCAGAATTCAAACTGATGACATTTTACTACATCCATATGAAATAGAAATGTTGAGATATTTTGGTTGACTAAAATAACAATACTGGTAATCACTTATGGTCTTCAAATGTTTTTCTCAACCATCTTTCCTGTGTGGCTGGTGATCAAAACATCCCTCTGAGGTTAAATATTGTAATCATGTCCACTGTAGGGATGAAAAAGCCAAGGGCATGAGCCAGGTGACACAGCTAGGAAGCAGCAGAAGTGATGTTCCATCCCATTCCTCCTGATGTCAAGGCCAGAGCTTGCTCCTCTCTATCAATGGTCTAATCCCTCGAATAAGCAGCAGATCAATCAATGCCAATGCAGTTGGGTAAACTGCTTAAGGATAACTTAAAGCTCACCCAGAAGGTTTGACCACAATATGAAAAAACCAGTAGTCACTTTGTCTAAACCATGAAAGAAATCTGCAAATTGTAATTCACCTGTGCAGATTTTCATTGGCACAACCACCAGGAATCCTGCAACAATGGGTATGACAGATGCAGCACTGTCAAGACCATTTGTTAAGGGATTCAGAGACCCAATAAGGCAAAATTACTTGGTTCAATGGATGCACTGGAATTGCAAAATGAAGTGAGAAATATAGAAAAGGTATGAAAACTGTTTAGCACACTGGCAGGCACAAAGTCAATCAATCAACTCTTATTGCCAGTATCATGAGTAGAGACCCTGATCATTCACTCAAAAGCAGGACATTATAAAACTTACTCTGGAATAATCAAGTTCTCTGGGCGTTGAGTCTGTTAAAGCTCGGACAAGGGCATTCATCATACAGCTTGGAGGAGAAGGTGGAGAGGGCTGAGAAGGTTCCTGCTGTAATGGGCTCTTTGGTTTTGAAGGCAGCCGACCTCTCCTCCCCTTCAGACTATCTGTACGGACAACTGATGGCAAGGGAAAAAGAGAAAGACTGTCTTTAAAGATATTCATGAATAGCCATAAATCACAAAAAGGAATTAAAACAGTTGAGCAATCATTAATGAGACCAACCATTTAAAAGTGGCAATAAGTTTGGAATAATATTCACACAACGATTCAATGAGAGTTGAAACAAGCAGCATAAAAGCCACTCCGTCCTTATATTTGGTAATGAATTAGTCCTAAAAGTCTCCTTCTTAAATAGAACAGAGATGTATGTACACAAGCTCTCTACTGATTTTGAGAAATTAGAATTGAAAAGTAGTCCTCAGCTATTTTTAAATGTAAACATACACTGTAACAACAAAACGTTGGAAGGAAAGGAAAATTCACCATTCTAATGTAAATATTAGCATTTTTTTCCAGTGATATCTGAGAACACATATAAACAAGTTGGATAAAAAGCATTATATTCATACCTTCTTTAACCATCCCAACACTGAGACACTTCTGAAAACGACAGTACTGACATCGGTTTCGACGTCTCTTGTCTACAGGGCAGTTTTTATTTGCCAGGCAAACATATTTTGCATTTTTCTGCACCGTTCTCTGAGAAAATACAATACAGAGATAGTCAACTAATAGTTTCTGGAAAGAGGTAGAACCTGACAAGATGTATTTTAATTACAATGTGAAAAGCGACAGTGCAATTCGTATAATTAGATAAATTTAATTTCCTAACACGCTAGCCTGCAGGAAAAACAATTTTATTAGTGTTAGCTGCTGACAATGAAAATCATCTCAGATTGTTCTGAAGCAAGTCTCAGGAGACATCCAAGTCTGAATGATAAAATCATATCTGAAATTACCAGGTCAACATATCATACCTTGGAGGATTAGATTATCTCCACTTTTAATATCCCTCTGGGAACAATTTTCTACTTGTTCCACTCCCCTGATTATTGCTGACCTTATTAAAATAAAATCAAAATTATCTGGGATGTACTTTGTTGGCTATCACTTTTGTAAGTCAAATATTACAGTAACTGGCTTTGTTTCCCAATAGAGATGAAATCATAAAAAGCAAAAATCAGGATTTGTCTAGTTAAAATATATAGGAAATAATGTTTAAGTGCCCAAAAAATCCCTTAATCAGCCGTTGTAGTTTATCTTTAAAAGGGTAAATGGCCATTTTTTTATATTTAAAATTAAAATCTTAAAATTGGACACTAAAAACCACTATCACATCCAAGAAAGGAATAAAGAAAAACCAAAACAAAAAGAAACGAGAAAGAAAGGAACATGAGAGCCATATATTTTCAATTAAAATTCCCATTGATTGGTTATTTCATAAATGACTATTGACATAGACATCAAAATAGCCACATTGTAAAACATACTTCATAAAACTTGGACTTGGATATAAAATAATGCTGTATTCTTCAGAATCACATGTAATTTAAAAATGGCACGTGGAGAAATAATTGAGCATAATTTTATGCTCCAAATATAAGGGAGGCTTTTTAAAAAACCCCACAAAAAGCACGTGTGCAATTGGATGTGGGTATTTACCACTTAGGGTAAAACCATTCAGAAATTACCTGAATCTATACAATTCCAAATAGAGCAGAAAGTTGAAATTTATTTGATAAGCCTAAAAAAGAAAAGAAATCTGGGTAATTTGGGGTTGGTAATCTATTTCTTGCCCAAAATTCTAGGCTTATTTTCAATCTTTACTTTCAGCAATTCTCAGCCCTCATTTACCAGCATTTACCCTATCATCTTTTAATTTCACTTTAGGAGATCATTTTGCTGACATAAAACTTTAAAAAATCTAACAAAGCCAGATACATTTTCCCTGCGTTTGTAGGTGATGTTAGTTTAAAATGTAAAAATTCCAAAAACACAAACATGCTTCTCAGTTTCCAGCATTTAAATTCTCAGCACTCTTTAAGGGTAGGAAACTGGTGCTTCCTGAATGAAGTTCTCTTCATCGAACATGCAGTCATTTCTAAAACTCTTATTTCTTGCCATTGTCCTCAAGGTTATATGCCAATTTGAGTGCTTGGCGGCATTTTGCTCCAGGTATACATTTTTCCAATAACCTGAAACCTTTCCCACAGTCATGTGCGCCTGCACAGTTTAAGGACAAGGAGAGATCGTTACAGTTCAATCACTGAATTCCATCATTAACTGCATTTCATGTCACATTTTTAAAGAATTCAATTTAATGGTAGAAAGCCACTGGGTAAAACCTGCTCCCATTCCCTTAATTAACAGATCTGTGGGATGGTTCTCTCCCATTCCTACCCCCCGCCCTTTCAAATATAGATTTGTTTTCAAGGGATTGCTGCAGAAAAGGAACCCTGTTGGGGAACACTTAATTGACATTTCTAGACTAGGGATGTATTACCACTCCTGTATTTTGGTCAACTCTCAATTATTCAGGGATGGTTATATTTGAAGTTACTTGCACTTCTCTTAATTGTTTTTCTTCCTTTTCTCCTTTTTGGCTACCTGTTTCACTGCCTTTCAGCATTTCCACTGAAATGATGTAAAAATCAATTTGTGAAAGGAATGCAGTTCCTTGAAAGCAGCCCTGGTAAAGCTTGAGTAGTTAAGACTAAAAAAGGCTAACCTGGGGGCTCTATATTTAAAATATCATAATCCTGTACATGCCTTCGGTATGGCTGCAAAGTCTTTCCATACGCCTTTTCTCACTTTTCTGCAGAATGTAATTAATCACACTCCCAGATCAAAAGTAACCAGCCTTTTCTCACTTTTCTGCAGAATGTAATTAATCACATGATTTCTACTCCCAGATCAAAAGTAACCGTTGCTTGTGGTGAGGATAACCAATACACAAACACGTGCATTTTTACAAATACTTGGTAGTTTTGACTTATAATGAACTATTGTTTTTATATGGCCCTTTAAAGTTTATAAAATGCTTTCATAATTGTTTTATCCCATTTAATTCTCACAGCCCTTCTCTGAATTTTATCCACCTGATAGGGAAACTGAGGCCTAGAAAGAAGTATTATGCCCAATGTCATACAATTGGTAGGTGGCAGATCAAGGCCTCCTATTTGAGTGTTCTCCAAGTCTCGCCTGCTCCCAGATACATCCTGTTTTCCCCCTAAATCCTATTACCCAATCAGCATCCAGCTTCCCCTTTTCCTCCAACCTGCCCAGCATGTAGGCTAGGGAGTGATTATTGTGGGAGACCATTTGTGGGTTTGCAAATGCCTGAGATAATGGCCAGGGGAGTGGGGATTGGGGAAAGTGGCACAGAATTAACTGTCTGAAGAAGCCGGGGAGTCAATAGCAAAAGCAGAGCAGCAAGAGGACAAGGCCTCTTTCCCCTGAGTGTTATAAAGAGCACCGAACTCAAGAGTCACCACGTGCTGATAAATCACTGTTTACAGGCTACCCAAAGCTTCATTTCTCTTGGCTTCAGCTTCCTCATGGGTAACATAGGTGGAGGCTGAAGACCCTCCTGTAGAATTCTCCTTTGGGTCTATGAGATCATGAACAACTTCCACATCTGGCATTGTGTGTGGCTCAGAGGTAAAGTGAATTGGTGAAACCCCAGCTCCTCTCTTCTATGAAGGGAGCTGTCCCAAACTGCATCTCGTCAGTGGCCTGTTCTACAGCTGCAGAGGTGTGAAGGCCATGTGCACTTTGGGGTCATGCAAACGTGAGCTGGCATCCTGTCTCCCTCTCACTCTCTGAGTGTGTGTCCTGGGCAGTTGAATAACCTTTCCAAGTCTCCATCGCCTCATTTATGAAACATGGATAATTAAGATCTACCTTGAAGACATTTAATAAAAACAGCTAGTAAGTGGCCAGAATCCTGTCTCAGGTCTGTCTGATTCAACAGTCCTAGCTCTTACTATGAAGATGACATGAGATACCAATGTCCATGGCCTGGCACACAAACCCTTCTCCTCGGGATGGACAGGGGAGAAATGCAATTAGGTTTCTGCACGTTTGAGATCACAGATCCCTTTGAGAATCTGCTGAGAGCTTCCCCCAGAAAAAATGATCATAAGATAATGCCACGTCAGCTCCTCACATCCATCTGGGGCGGCCTCCTGTAATGGACTTCAAGGTCAGACACCCTGAGGAAATGGACGTGAAGGTGCTAGGCTACAGGAACGCAGAGTTCACCAATTACACCTCTCAAATCGGGAAGGACCCACTTATATGCTCACTGGAGCGGGTGCCTGAGGAGGCTGGCTGCGGAGGGAGGGGCGCCAGGAGGAGGCGTGCGCTCACCTTGAAGAAGCCCTTGCAGCCCTCGCAGGTGCGAACGCCGTAGTGCTGGCAGGCAGCGTTGTCCCCGCACACGGCGCAGGTGCCCTCGCCCGAGGGGGAGCTC